TACCAGCTGTTCCATGGGAGAAAGATGAGGCTTTCTGCTCCCATAAAGATTTACAGCCTCAGAAACCCTTGTACAGGGTTGCTATGAGTCGGAACCAACTCCACAGCACATAACAACAACAACAACAACAACATAGAGGGGAAAGAGACATTTGGAGTGGTGAGATATTCCAGTGCTTTTAAAGCAGAGATCCTCAATTTTTGGCTGCTGGAATGACTAAAGGGAGCTTTCAGAAATGATGCCTGGGACTCAGTCCAGAGATTCTGATGTCATTGGTCTGGTGTAGTGTCTGGGTGTGACTTGGACCTTGGGCGTTTTGAAACGTGTGGTCCCTGGTGCAGATTCACAATGACTTACAAGGTGAGCAGTAGTGCCAGACTCAGTTTCCTTTCACAGTGCTATTGAGTTCCAGGACTGAATGAGACTATATTAATGAAACCTCAGTCACAGATTTATTTGTTCTCCACAGCTGCTAGTGTTTTGCTCTGAAACCACAGAGAAGAAAAAAGACCAACAGGCAGAAATATCTTTCTTTGAGCAACTCTCAGTTTAGAGGATGTGAAGTGAATAATTATAGCCTTTGTATTAAGCCTTCATTCTTTAACCAGCTCCAGTCTGCCCTGGCTTTATATTTTTAGCCTTGCTTTGTTGACAGTGAAAATGTCTGGGCATAATGGCCACAGGTCATCTCCTCACTGTCTCTGGGTGTGGGTGGGTCCCTGAGACAGGCAGGAAAGCAGTGCTGATGTGGAGCATTGTGTGGGACACTGGGCACACTTGGTGCTCTTCACACTTTCTCTCTTTGTCCTCACAACAAATGCACCCCCTACCAGGCAGTAGCTTACTGCTTCAAATGCCATGGGAGCTTGAGACCTGGAGTTCTTTTCTTAGATTAGCTTCTGACCTTAACTGCAACCTGAGTGTTTTTCACTGGGGGTTCTATTTTTTTCAGGTATCAGGATAGGAATAACTGTCACTTAAAGTCTGAATCTGCTGATTAGTTTGACTCAGTAATTTATCTTTTCCTTTAAATATAGAGGAGCATATGACTGCAGAGTTGTGATTAAAATAGACATGGATTTGGGGATCTTAGGTTTAAGTACCATTTTGTATGCATGTATGTATGTTTGAATAAAGGAGCTCTGGTAGCTTAGTAGTTACGAGTTGGGCTGCTAACCTCAAGGTCAGCAGTTCAAAACTACCAGCGGTTCTGTGGGAGGAAGATGAGGCTTTCTGCTCCCATAAAGATTTACAGCCTCAAAACCCTATACAGGTCTGACTGTGGCACTTAACAATAACATGTTTGTACAAGTTGCCTTTGTGCCATCGTGAGCAATACTGGGTTCACCCTAATGCTTACATGACAGTGTATTGGGCAGCTCAAATGAAGTATTGTTAGGAGAAAGTACTTTGTGAGTCTTATGTACAATATATACTATTAGCTGCTTTTTTTTTTAATCGTCTTCCCTGTGGCTCTTTTCTCTATGTTCATGTAGCCTACAGTTCTTACTGAGAGTTTGTTTTAGTCATGCTTTTTCTCATGTGTCAGTGCTGTTATCCTGCCTTCTGCTGGGCTCTCCTCTCTTACTCATTGTAGTGAGTTGAAGTGTGGCCCCTCTTTGGATATGTACAACTCCTAACCTCCAATACCTGAGAACATGACTTTAGAAAAAGAGTCAGGATCTCAGGATGAGATCATCTTATATTAACCAGGTGGACCCTAAATTTAGTAACAAGGGTCTTTGTGAGAAGAGGACCCAAACAGAAGGGAGAACACACAGGCTAAGTCAACGAAGACAATGGAGACCTTAGTGTTACGCTGCCACAAGCCAGGGAATACATTGAATCACCAGAAGCTGGAGAAGACAAGGAAGTCTCCTCCCCTGGAGCCTTCACAGGGAGTATGGCCCTGCCTAGGCCTAGGTTTCAGACTTTTGGCTGAGAGAGAATGAAGTTCTCTTGTTTTAAGAAACTATGAGGGTGAGTAAAAAAATTATCTGTACTCTAGCTGTAGAATTTATTTTAATAAACCTTTAGAAAAAACAAATATATCATTTTTCAACACAGTCTTGCTTTTTGATATGCTTTGTTCATCTGTCAACAAGCTTTTGTATTCCCGTACTTAAAAAAAAAAAGTTTTAGGCTGAGCTGTGAGCTATGAATGCACCGCTGTCTTCACTTCTTTATGAGATGTGAATCTTCGTCCTTGAAGGGTTGCTTTCAGGGGACCAAACAGTTGAAAATCTGATGGTGCAAGATCAGGACTATAGGGAGGATGCTTTAACACCTCAATATGAAGTATTTACAGACTGTCAACAGTGTGCATTGTCATGCAACATCACAGTGCTTTTGGATAGAAGTCCTGCACATTTTATCCAGAGTTTAGACTTCACCTATTCAGTGAACACCTCACTGTACAGAGCACTGTTGATTGTTGAACCTTTTCCCTCATAGTGTTCCAATACTGGCCGCTGAGAATCCCAGAAAACCATAAGCATCAATTTTCCAACTGATGATTGACTTTTGAACTTTTTCTTGGTTGGCGACTGAGAATGTTTCCATTCCATATTCTTACATTTACTCTCAGACTCATAGTAATGAATCCATGTAATGATTTTTTTAAAAGAAACTTTGCCTTCCTTCAAATATTGGCACAAATTTTGTTTGCAGATATCCATACGCTTCTGTTTATGCTCATCTGTGAGTTGTTTTCTGTACCCGTGTCATACAAACTTTTCAAAACCCAAGTTTGTCTTGGATTATTTCATAGGCAGAGCCATCATTGATTTACAAATGGTTTGCCACATGATCCACTGTCACTTGTCTATTCCACAGAATCGTTTCACGTGTGCACTCAATGTTGTCACCAACTGTGAACATGGATGAGTATTTTAATATAAGCAGAGTGTGGATAATTTTTGACTAATCCTTGTAAATTTATGGTAATCTGTATGGCAGCCCCAGGAGACTGATACACTCGTCTTTTAAGACTTGGCTTAGGTATCACCAGCTCCTAGTCTTTTCCACATTCCCCAGGCTAAACTAGCTGTGTGCCCATGAAAGCCCTGACATCTGTCACTCAACTGCCATTTGCATATGCCATTATCCATTCATGTGTCTGTCACCTTCATGAAACTGAGGGTTCTGTGAAAGTGGTGGTTGTGTGGCATTAATGTTTCTCATCAAATTAAGCTTTTTAAAAGCCATTACAATAGCTTCTAGTGGGACCTAGTGTACCTTGTTCATCATCTGCAGACACCGTTGCTCTTGTACCACACATTACCAGGCTAGTTGGACACTGTTCTACACAGAGACTTTCAGCAGCTCCACAACTCTTGATTCCAAGTACCTCATAATCTGGCTCCAAAGTACTTTTCCAGTGTTATCTGCCATTGCCTACCTCCATGAACTCTCTACTCTAGGAAAATGAATCTGTTGCTTGGTTTCATAGAACATGTCTTACTCATGCAAAGCCTTTGCTAGAACTATGAATGACAGGAAAGCCCTTCTCTTCTGCATTATTGAAATCTTAGTTACCATTCAAAGGTCTAGTGAATTCCCACCTCTTCCTCTAGGCCCTCTGAACCACCCTAACAATAATGCAGTGTCCCTTCTCATATTCCCTGTTATACTTTCTGTCTGTGCTCTCCCATGGAGCCTGTACAGAGCAGAGTAGGATATTTTAGTTCATGTCTTTGAAGTGTTAGCACATTTTCTTCAGGGCCTGAGGGCTTTCAGGGAAGTGCAGTGCCTCATTAATTTTGAATATTAAAGGCCATATTAATTCATGCGATATTAATACCAGGAAACTCAATAACCTATCCTGATATAGGTGTTTTTTTTCTTCTTCTTCTTTTAAATTTCCCTTAGGGCATCTATATTGCTTTGTTCTTACAGGATTTTGTGAAAATAAATGAATGCATTACTGGAAAACTCCTGCCCATTCATTAGTTTTCAAATACAAGGATCTTTTAGTGACAAATATGCAGTTGGAATAAACTTTTGGTGATGGATGTGGGAGTTATGCTTGTATAGTCGATTTCTTCTTGGCCTTCATTTTGGTGGGCTGGGTTTTGGAAGCAGTTAAAGAATTCACAGAAAAGTGTCTGGCATGGAGGGAACTGAAAAGCAGAGGAGCAGTGAATGAATAGAAATTGGGTCCATTGTTTCTAGACAGAGTGATATGGCTAAAAAAAGCTCTGTTAGGCAAGACTTAAAGGAAATCTCTGATTGCTGATAATCTAACTAGGATTCCATAAGTCTTTATCTAGACACAGATGCAACTTTGTTAACTAAAATCATTGAAATCAGTTGTGATATTAAAGTTATTATAATGGCAAATCATGGTAGGTCAGTGTTGAATTTCTGTTGATTCCACAGTGGGTCAGAGACAGGAAAGCAATATTATCTCAGAATAACCCTCATCCCCAGAGATGGTTTCCACAACATTTTCCCCCTCAGTAAAGGAAGTTTTTTTTTTTTTTAATAACTTGTTCTTCTTTAAATTTACTATGTAGATATAAAAAAGCTTAGTCTTTAGAAACATTTCCTGGCCGTCTCTGTATTGAAATCATGAAGTAGTATAGTAGGAAGAACTTTGGAATTTGACGCCTGACTCTGTTGCTTGCCAGCTCTGTAACCTTGAGCCACTTACTTAGTCTGTACAGCATTGATAATACTGACTATATGAGGATCTTGAGGGTTAAGTGTGGTCATATGAAGAGTGGATGGCAGAGTGAGGTCTTGGGAAATTATAGCCATTAAGATGATAGATGGGTGGTAGGTATCAAAATGGTACAATGACTAGTTTTTATAGGTAATTGAGAGAGGATCAAATTATAGAAGCAATGTTGACTTGAATTAAGTGTCTATTCTAATTGATTTTATGTTTCTTTGGGGAAATCACTTATGTTGCTTAATTCTTTGCAGAATAATGGGACCACTGAGCATCAGGTGGAATCTTTTATAAGGAAAAAACTGGAGTCGCTGTTAAGAGAATCTCAAATTCGAGACAAAGAAGATCCTGATAGCTTCACAGTGAGGGCACTTTTGAAGGCTACTCATGAAGGCTTAAATGTACATCTGAAGCAGGTATGGAATTCCCTTCAGTATTTGTCCTGTGATAGAAAAAAAAAATGAAAGTACCTCATGCATCATTTCTAATACTATATTTTTTATGAAATGCTCATCCAGCCTTTTCCATTTCTATCCTCATATTACTCGAGAAAAGAAAGTATTTTCTTGCGAAATGGTCTGTCTGATAAATCGGTAAAAGTCAATGGAGTTGGGGTGAAGAAATGGCTCAGATCCTTTCACTTCAATCCTCCAGACAAAACCAAGTGCCCCTGAACCTGTCTTCCCCAGACATGCTCATGTGAGGGCGTAAGTTCCACCCTGTCCCTATTCAGTCACCTACATGCTCTGAATGTGCGACCCATCTTCTTCCCCATGGCCAGTCTCATCATCTAGGCCATGTCAACTCTTACTTAGTCTTCCCTTGCCACCCTTCAACCTAATCTTCACTCTGAATTCTTCCTGGTTTTTGAAAATGTAGTTTTGATCATGTCACTTCACTGCTTAAAATTCTTCTGTGGCTTATCATCACATTTGGGATAAATTCTAAGCTCATTAACCAGGATTTCAAAGACATGCATAATTGCATTCTTGCAGTTATTATCCTGCCTCTCCCATTTTTATGTCTCCATTTTTCCTATCATACCACCTCCCAGCATCCATGATTGTCATCATATGGCACTGTCTTCCTCACAGTCTTTTCCTTCTTTCTGGAACATTCTATTCCTACATCTTTAGCTAATTCTCACTAAGTCCTTTAGGAGTTGCTGATTGGTGCAAGTGGTTAAGTACTTGACTACTAACCAAAAGGTTGGCAGTTGAAATCCATCCAACAGCTCCTGTGAAGAAAGGCCTGGTAATCTACTTCTGAAATGTCCTAGCTATTGAAAACCTATGGAGCACAGTTGGAGTCTGCACACAAGGGTCCACCATGTGTCAAGACTTAACTGTACAGCCACTGGAGTTCTTTTTCCATTTTGGATACTCAGTCTTTTAAATTCTAGCCTTATTGCAAGTTCCTAAAAGAGTTCTGGTGTAGCGCTGTGGATTAATGCACTGGACTACAAGGTCAGGTTGAACCACAAGATTGGCAATTCAAGCTCACCAGCTACTCCTTGGAAACCCTATACAGGGTCACTGTGAGTCAGAACCAACCTGATGGCACTTACCAACAGCAACAACAAACAGTTCTGCTTTGACCCCTGGCTTAAGTTAACTATCCCCCTTATATTGTCCATGGTAATGTGTTATCTCTTTTCTGAAGCCTTTTTTACATATTTGCAGTTACTCATTCAATGTTTGTCTTCCCAATTAGCTTATAGGTACCATAAGGTTAAGAAACCTCATCAGTCTTTTTTTTTAAATAACCTTATCAGTCTTGATCACCATTATTTTTCTTGAGACTTAACTACTTGAGACTTACTTAGATCTTCATAAATATTCATTGGATGAATTGTTTAGGCTCTCAGTGAGATTTTTACTACTTCCTAATGAAAATACTATAAATGGGCAATACAGAGGGATATTGGGTTTATTGATTTTACTATCCTAGGGTGTTAAAGGAATTTTTTCCTGGCTGAGACTTCTCCGTGTGGCCATGTGGTACTGACTCCATTAGTAGTAGCCTGTCTGCACCTACTCCCTGCTTTCCAGGGATCAAGTTTCCCCAGGCATCAGGAAAATCGTATTGGTGACTATCTTTGGGTTGAAGTGGACCTAAGTCTTGGTGATTACTCTCTAGAGTCTACAAAAGTCTAACCATTCAACTACTAGTTTGTTCTTTAGAACTATTTTTAGTTTGAAAATTTAGAAAATTTCATTCAAAGAGGCTTAAATGAGGAAGAAAATGGTTGGATTAGGTAAATGACCCTTTGCTTTTTAAGTGGCATTTGTTGTTGTTGTTAAGTGCCGTCGAGTTGATTCCGACCCATAGCAACCCTGTATAGGGTTTCCAAGGAGTAACTGGTGAGCTTGAACCACCCACCTTGCAGTTCAAACAACTTTGCAGTCTGATGCATTAGCCCACAGCGCCATACTAGGATTCCCAATAATCAACAAGTTTTTTGTTGTTAAGTGCTGTCGAGTTGATTCTGACCTATAATAATGACCCTGTATAGAGTTTCCAAGGAGCAGCTGGTGAGCTTGAACCACTGACCTTGCAATTCAAACAATTTTGTAGTGAGTGACATTTAGGGTGGACTTTATTCCAAGTCTCAGTGTTTTCAAGGAACCCCCCATTCTTTCTATTTTCTATGGTGTTAGCATCATCCCAAGTCAGCTTCCTCATTCCTCGGTAATTGCAGAGTGGCTGTCAAAAGGTCCACAGGCTACCTGTTTCTTAGCCCATGTCCAGTGAGAATGAAACTGTGTATCTGCCCCAACCAGCAAACCTGAGTTCGTGTTTAGAACTGATTGGGAAAGTTAGATGATGTGCCCATTCTTAAAAGATGTGTTCTTAGGAAAGTGCCCATCTGGGAATAATGATTTGGCAAGGGCATAGTAAAATACTGGTTTGCTAGTACCAGTGGTGTGGTGCTATGGGGTAAAGTACTGGACCACAAGTTTGGTTTGAATTGCAAGATTGGGTCAAACTCACCAGCCACTTCTTGGAAACCCTATACAAGGTTGCTATGAGTCAGAACTGACTTGATGGCACTGAACAACGTAACAACAACAATGCCAATGAGAATGTATGCCTGGAGCTCATGCCAGACTCAAGCTTCAGCCACATGAAGGGAATAGTATAGAATATTTATGAGGCAACCACAGCATCATTATGCATTATTGCTGTGCAATTCATCAAATAATGTTGAATTCTCTTAAAAACTTTTTATCAATTGTAACAGGCTCCTCTATCTCCACAGCTCCTCCAGACACTGTTTTGAACCTGAAGCAATGTATCCCTTTCTCAATACATGGGCTGTTAGAAGTGGAAAATAACTCAGAGTTTAGCTGGTCCATTTCCCAAAGCCTCATCCCCCCATTGCAGATAAGAAAAAGGAAACCAATGGAAGGAAATTTCTAAAAGGACCTATGGTGGCCTAGAGAGCAGTGTTACTCCTATGACCACATCTGTTTATCTTCTTATTTCCAGAACCTTTGAACAGTTAATGATCCACATTAATATTTCTGCAAAAGCAATATGCATTTATAAACTTACCTACTCGGAAGAGCCCACATCCTTCATGTGAACCCCTACAACATTTTCTAGACTTCTTTCCTCAACCATTCTCTGCCATTATCTTTTTCCTCAGTTGCATGTTTGATTAATCTCTATGGACATGTGTGGATACTATCCTCTGACCTTTAGTTTTATGTGGTTTTCCACACATGCATTCCATGGATACAGTTATGTCTATTTCTTCTCTGGTATGCTAAAAGTCCTGTTAGGGCCAGAACTGCTGATCTCTCCTTATACCATGTCTTTAGCAATGAACCACCTAATATATATTATTAGAAATGATAATTGAATAAGATGTAGAGTCTTAAACCTTTCTGTTCTCTAATGAGACATAGGCCCAAGCAAGGAGATTTGGTCTGGGATCTTCAACCTGGAAAATTAACCCACATGAGAGAAAACTCTGGGGCTCTTTCCAGTGCTCACAACATCTTGCCAGTGCTCACAACAAAAGGAATCATTTAACACATGGTTCTGCTGTGGTTTTACTAAAAGCACATACACAAAATTCCATTACATTATAGATATACTTCAATTTTACTTGTTTATTTTCAATGCTTTAAAATCCCAAATAGCAAAGCTCAGTCAACATTGTGATCACTTTGTTCAATAAAATTGGCTCTTAATGACTTTGGGCCATATTCCAGGATTAAATCTACTCTTTACTAAAAATGCTTTGTTCGCATGACTCAAAAGAAAGCATCATAGATTGTGGAGAGCCTCTTGAAGAGGCTCTGTTAGGGACTCACACGGTTGGATGAGAGCTCCTTCTCTCCAGCAATGGGATGCTGTTAGCAGGTGCTGGTTCCTGGCTGGTGTCCAGTCCTCTCTGTGCCAATGTTCCCATCTCTCAAGGCAGGTCCAGCCACCACTGTTGCCATAGTGGAGAGGAGGAGCAATAGGAATGAACAGTATCTGCTTGTCTCCCACTTAGAGACAGGATGACAAAAAGGTCCCCTGCCACTCCACCAGAGCTAAAACAAAACAACTCATCTTATGCCTTTATTTACTCAGAATCCAGATGTAAAGGAAAATGGAAAGAAATCACATGGACGTTCCCTCATGACAAACTTTGGAAAACATAAGGTATGAACTAAGAGTGATAAGTGTGTGTAATTCAGTTTAAAACATATTTTTACTAATTTGGCTGAACACTTGACACAACCCTTTGTTTCCTTATATATTATGGTGGTGATGGTGGTTGTGCGCCATTGACTTGGTTCTGACTCACAGTGACCTTGTGTAGGGTTTCTGAAGCTGTGACTCTTTACAGAGCAGAAAGCCTCATCTTTCTCCCATTTTTATGTATGCACACACACATATATTGTTGCTGTTATGTACACATGTATACATACATATATGTTGTTTGTGCCATCAAGTTGGTTCCGCTCATAAAGACTCTGTATAGGGTTTCTGAGGAGTAGGTTGGTGGGCTTGAACTACCGACCTTGTGATTTACAGTCAAGTGCTTATCCCACAGTGCTACACCAGGACCATGTATATATGGGGAGTAGAGTACAGTGTTTCTGTAGATGAAGCATTAGACTGTGAACCACAAGGTGGGTGGTTCAATCTCACCAGCCATTCTGTGGGAGAAAGGTGAGGCACTAACAGAGATTTACAACCTTGGAAACCCTAGAGAGGACAGGCTCGCTATGAGTTGGAACCAACTTGATGGCACTTAAAACAACATTTTATATAAACATTGTTGTTAAGTGCCATTGAGTCAGTTCTGACTCAGAAACCCACCTTGTGATTCAAACCAACCTCATGATTCAAACCAGCCTTGTGATCAATATATGGAATCTTGGTATGGTGCTGTAAGATAATCACTGGGTTGCTAACAACATGGTAAATGGTTCAAACCTACCAGCTGATCCTTGGAAACCCTATACAGGGCTACTATGAGTTGGAACCCACTTCATGGCACTAACAACTTAACAACAACACATACATACATACAATGTATATATGTATACATTTATATATGAATAAAACATTTGTCATTAACCATTTAACCATTATTATAGTGTAAATTTGTACTTATATATGTATGTTGTTAAGTGCTGTCAAGTCGGTTCCTACTCATAGCAACCCTTTATAGGGTTTCTGAGGCTTTACATCTTAACAGGAGCAGAAAGCCTCATATATAAATAAATACATACACATACATATATTTATTTGCTGCAATAATGAAAAAAGAGAAGTATTACTAGAAGTAAAGATGAAACAAAGTGGGATATTTCATAATGATGAAGGGTCAACCTATCAGTAAGCTTATATAGCTCTAAATTTGTATGTACCTAATAGTTCAAGCTCACCAGCTGCTCCTTGGAAACCCTATACAGGGTCGCTATGAGTCGGAACTGACTCAACGGCACTTAACAGCAACAACAATACTATAGGCTCAAAATATGTCATTCAAAAGTTGATAGAACTGAAGGAGATATCAAGAAATCCATCATCTTAGTGTGAGATTGTAATGCATCTTTCTCAGTAACTAATAGAACAAACTGACAAAAATCCAAAATGGTAGTTGCTAGCCACATATGGAGTCCTGATGTGGTACTGTAGTATTAGCATTGGATTGCTAACTTCAAGGTCAGTGGTTCAAATCCACCAGCTGCTCCTTGGAGACCCTATACAGGGTTACTATGAGTCAGAACCGAATCGACAGCACTTAAAAACAACAAGTTATGTATGGTTATCTAGGTGTAAAGTAAGTTAATTGAAATAAAATAAAATAAAGTTCTTCAGTCACATCATAGACAGTTCAAGTGCTCGAGAGTCACATGAAGCTATTGGCTATTATATTGGCTTGGATGTAGAACATTTCTATCATGTCAGAGAGATCTATTGGATATCACTGATAAGGGAAACTAAAGCAAGATTAGTAAATTTAACTGATAGATTTAGAATGCTGCATTTAACAGTACTAGTTACTCATACCATAGAAGGGTCTACCATTTAAGGTTTAAAGAGCAGGTTACCCTAGAGCTTACCTAAGGACAAAATTCAGAAAAATCAGGAGTGGAGGAGGAGGAATGGGAACCAGACACACAGGGAAGTAAGATAAAGGATAGTGCATTGAAGGGATTACAAGTGAGATGAAGTGTATGATTTGTTGAATGCAAAACTGATACTCTATTCTGTAGACCTTCACTCAGTTCACACACACAAAAATTCAAAACAATATCTTTTATCCGATATTTTAGCAAAAGAGGTCCTAAACTTTGTAATAAAGACAGCAAAACATTTAAATTTATAAAAGAACTAATTAAAAAAAAAAAAAGGCCCCAAAAAATGACCTTTCTTTGCAGATGGCATGATTGTGTATATAAAAAGAACAAAATAATTTAAAGATAAATTACTAGAATGAATAAGTAAATTTATGGTGTGGTGGTACGGTTTAATGTGCTAGACAGCAAGATTGGTTTGAACCTCAAGACTCGTGGTTCAAGTTCACCAGTCTCTCCTCGGACACCCTATACAGTATCACTATGAGTCAGAATCGACTTGATGGCACTTGACAATAACAACAAATAAATATACTGTTTCTTTCCATGCGAGCAACAATCAAATGGGAAAATAAAAGATACAAAAGTAAAATTTGCAATTCCATATCAACTATCAATTAACTAGAAATTAATATCAAAATTACATAAGACCTCTATACAGAAAACTCAAACAGTATTATAAAATTAAAAATTAATGGAGAGACCTACAGAGGGGAAAAAAAAAATTAATGGAGAGAGAGACTCTGCTCACTCACATACTGGGTTAATGATGTTTAGCTACCAAATTGATCAATGGGAATTCAATGGAATGCCAATTAAAATTGCAACAAGGTTGTTATGTATGTATGCTGAGGGGGTTAGGGAGGAAGGTTTTAAGCTGATTGCAAAATTTATATGGAGGGACCAAGAAATTATAATCCTGAAAAATAATACTAGAAAACTTCCAATAACAGATTACAAGTTACAGTAATATGATAATGTGGTATTGGCTTAAAGATAAGCAAATGATTGAATGGCAAAGCCTAGACTCTAGTCCAGAGATAGTTGTTTATATACAAGGTAGCACCATTGCAATTCATTTGGAAAAAGATCATCTTTTCAATGGGCTATTCAAGGGGGGTGGGGGGTGGGGGAAGGGAGTGTCCTCACGCTTTATAACAAATGGGTGAATTTTAGATCTAAATGTGAAAGATGAAACAATAAAAATTCTAGAAGGTAACTGAAGAATATTTTCATGAGTTGGAATAACTGAAGCATTCTTAAACAGTATCAGAGAAAGGAAAATGCTGACAATTAAAATGCCTTTAAAATTAAAAGCTCTATACATGTATAAGGAGCTCTGGTAGCATAGTGGTTACTAATC